TAATTATATATTCGTTTATCTTAATTATGAATACATTATAGAGTAATTTATTCGAGCGAGTCCTGATTCTGGACCTGTGTATGATGCTGGATGGTGTGAGATTTGTTTAGCTCAGTATGAGGTTTTCCAGATGGTCTTATTATTGCTGCAGAAAGGAAGAAATCATCCTTTCCAAGATACAAAACATACAGTTGCTTCACAGATATAGAACACTGATTAGCAGGTTACTACATGTAAGTCAATTTACTCAATAAATGCACATTACCCTCAGGGATAATTAGAAATGCCTCAATTTACGTAAGTGGTTATGGGTTTGAGTTCTTCAAAAGCCAAATAATATTAACTACGTACTGTACTAGCAAAGAGCAGGGACGGCATTACTCGGATCATCAGAGCCGTTTTGTTCGGAGTCCGTACTTCACAAGTCCAAGGACATAATTTATTGTCCTTCCCACTCCACACACATACTCAGATATTGGTTACAACGAATTAGTTTTAATGTTGGTTGGAATCAGTCTCTTTTTGGCCTTTTCAAGACAAAGGCTCAAAATATAACAAAACAAGATAAAGTTTGTGGAGTCTTGTATCATTAAAGGAAGGAATAACATCAGTAAAGGTAAGGTAGAAGAATTTAGGGGAATATGGAGAATCAGGTAAAACAGCACATATGTGATGGTGTTTATAGCAAAAGGTTTTAGCTTCCAAACAGAAACAAACTTTGAGGTGTTATTTCTTCAATAAGAGCATTAAGCCAGGTATCCTTTAGCCAATGATATTAGATTGTTTGACAAAGTTGAAAGACACAGGATTAATCAGTCATTTCTGATGAGGATGCTACAAATACAAGTGTATATTCTTAACTAAACATTTCACCCACACATAGAACATAATGAGCAAAAGGTATACAGTAGGCTCTCATATTTGGACACCATTTACACTGTAAAAACCTCGCAAAATTCAAATGGTCCAAATTTAAATACAACTTCCCACGGAGAAAATTAATTTGCGTCTGGTACTTTCGATGTTTGGCTAAATGTTGCTTTATTTACCCTACTTTTTGGGCGAATTACTACACCTGTAATAAAGCAACATCCTAATAAACCAACAAAAATAACAGATAAAGTTAAATAAAAACTAAAAACATCACAGAAAAAGTTTTTATGTTCTACAGCTTCAGCTAGAGTTGAACCCGATGACTTGGCAACTTTGTCATCCAAGTAAAAACACACACAACAACATTGGCTGTCCTTATGTTTTCAACTTAACCACCACTGGTGGGTAGCATTTTTATTTTAAATTCAGAAACACTAATTAAAACATATAAAGAGTAAATAAGTGTTGCTTTCATATTCTTATGTAGAGTAATGACGATATGTTTTTACATGTGCTCACTTACATACGCGATCTCACTTTTTTCTTTACCATTAATGGTTAGCTACTTCCAATGTTCCATTTATTAACATTAAATAGCATTACTTAAAACAACCAATTAATTTTACTACAGATACAACCAGGGTCTTATTTTCTTCAGTTTTATATGTAGAACCAGTCAGTCACTGGTTTTGTAAACAATAACAAAAACAATGCCGTCTCGTCTCCTCGTGCGTTTTAATATTCTACGTATTATTAACGAATTGTATTGTTCATTTTGCACACAAACATTAATTCAATCAAAAAAGACATTCAGTAATAAACAATAATGAATCTTTTGTAGACAAGAAAAATGACAGTTTGCACGATTGTGCATGTCTGAACGTTGGCAGGCCGCTCAAACCCGTTGAAATTTGAAAATGTGTAGTGTTTTTTTTTTGTCAAAATAAAAAACGTCAAAATAAAAACTCGCACAATTTGAGAACCTACTGTATTTGTAACATGCTATACATCTTAAAATTGTACAAAATAATTTAATGAAGTATAATTTTGCAATCATTGATAAAATTGAAAAGTGGAAGTACAAACAAGATTATTATAACAAGAGATACTGTAGCTCCATGTGCCTATACCTTGCTCCAAGGCTCAGCACAAAACATATATTGCCATTCTTTTGTTTAGTTTCACAGAGTTTTAGCAGAAGTGTTGCTGCAGGGATACATACCTATAGAGAGTTAGGGGCATTACCAAATGAAGCTTCACAAACTATACATTTGATTAATAATATGGCTACACTGATACATTCAATAAATAGCTCTACCACTTTAAAGGTAGCAAGTGTGTCATCAGTGCAGAAAATAATCAGAGAAAATTAAATTGAATTTCAGTCTTGGATCAATCCCTGGAAAATAGGGACATATAGTTTTATTCCAGGTGTTGCTGGATGGAAATTAAACATAGCTAGTTGGAGATCACTACAGCTTGATGTTACATAATAATTATAACTATACGTAATACCTACTGACCAATAGGTTAAACCAGGATTCTTTAGAAAATCTATTTAGCAGTATCAGAGATGCTGGATGTCACGTGCCTGTAACTCTTAGGAACACGCATGTTGTGTAGTATCTGTTTACGCCTCCACTCCACACAAGCTATTATTAACTT